CGCTGCGGGGGGGGGAGGCTCCGCTGCGGGGGCCCCTTGCTGCGGAGGGGGAAAGAAGGGGTGCGGATACCGCTGCCCGCTGTTGTCGCCCTCTGGTGGGCCACCTGGGAGGTCCTTGCGGCCACGGCTGGACTCGCCTCGAGATCTTGGCCAGAGCGCACCCTGGGAGAGGTCTGGGGAGCGGGGCGGCATCGGTACCGTTAGGTTTCCCCACTTCTGGGGTGGGTGCCGGGGGGGGGGGGAGGGGGCTGCCCAGGGGAGGCCTCCGCTGAGAGGCCTCCCTGTCAGGGGCGGGCCTCCTCGGGGCCTCCCCATTGGATGCTTCTGGGGAGAGGGCGGGGCTGCTGGGGGCAACCTGCTCGGAGGCCTGGGAGGAGGGCCTCTTTGCTTTTTCCCGCTCTGGCAGCAAGCGGGGGCAGAGTCGCGAACCGCCCTTTTGATACCCCCTCCCTCTTCGTCCAAGGGGAGGCAGGGGCCAGGAGGAAAGGGAGAGAAGGAGTGGCAGGGGGAGCATGGACGGGATCAGGGAAAGGATGGGCAGCCGGGAAAGGGAATATGAGACGGACGTGGACGTGGAAGCAGAGGTGTGGCGAAGAGGATGAGCAGCAGCGGCAGGATCTTCTACAGCAGCAGTGAGGAAAGTGGTCAAGAGCAGAGAGGATGGAGGGATGAGGGAGGGACCTGCACTTTTCAACCATCCGCAGGGCGCCCAGTTGCCGAGAAAGAGGGGGAAGAGAGAAGCGAGGTGCGCTCGCGTCACATCTGACGTCCTACCCCTCCCTCCTATCCCTTATCATGGCGTAGATACTCTCTCTGTCTCTTTCTCTCTCTCTCTCTCTCTCTCTCTATATATATATACATGTATAGATATATTCGCACAGTCGGATGCCGAGCAGGGCAATGATCGCGAGAGAGTGCGTGATGCATCGTAGAGCACGGCATGGCATGGCGTTGAAGAGCACGGCAGAGCATAGAGTGTCAGCATGGCGTGGCATTGCGTAGTGAAGCATTGCATCACAAAGCATTGCAACACAAAGCATGACACGTCATGGCGGGGCACCCGGTTCCCTGGAGGGTCTTCGAAGGGTCGGGGCCGGTTTGGAGTCGCGGTTCCATGTTTAGCTCCCTGGGCTCCGCGATAAGCTCCCCACAAGGCGGGGCTGATGGAGAGCACCCGCTGGTTTTGCTTGCAACGCCGCCTTCTGAAAGCAGAAACGGGGCTCCCGCTTGATACTTCCTACAAGCGCCGCCGCCCCGAAGAGTGGTGGGCTTTCTGCGGCCCAATTACTCAACGAATTGTCACCGGATGTGTAGTCACTTGCGATGTTTTCTTCTGGAGGTAATTTTTTAAATTTGGGGCCTATTTAGAAGGACCGGAAACGCCCGCGCTGCAGCGGGAGCACGTTTTGGAACAACCAGAAGCGCAGAAATGAGGCCAGCGCTGCAGCGGGAACAACATTTTGAAGCCCCGAATCGGATTGCCAAAAACACATATGAAAGCCGGTAAATGAGGCCAAAGCTGCAGCGGGAGCGCGATTCGGAACGAGCGGAAGCGCGAAAATGAGGCAAGCGCTGCAGCGGGAGCACGAGTCGGAGCGAGCGAAAGGCCGAAAATGAGGCCAGCGCTTCAGCGGGAGCAACATTGTGAAAACAAGAACCAAGCGAAAACCTAGTTCCCGTGAGTCCCGTGTGTAAAAAAAGAACGCGGAGGGGGGCCGAATGTCTTCCGGGTCGCCAGTGGAGAGAGGAGAGTCGTATTTATATTGTGTAAATGTGGAGGAGGAGGAGGAGGCGGAGGAGGAGGAGGAGGAGGAGGAGGCGGAGGAGGAGGAGGAGGCGAGGAGGAGGAGGCAACCACACAGATATCGGGCGGCTAGAAGATCGAGGCAGCTGGTGTTTCACCACCTGGGGCTCCGGAGTCCCATTCCGGGGCCCGAGAGACGGAAACACATTCGGTAGGAAGCCCATGTCCTTGGGAAGGGATCGGGAGCTCCAGAGGTTCCATGTCTCTATATATTATATAAATAACACCCAAAAAAACGCGCCGTCGGACGCCTGCGCTCCCCCCCCTCTTTGATCCAGACGTCCTCTGATGGGGGGTGCTGCCATTCCGCGGCCCCTAGCTGCTCGTATTGGACCCATGTGTGGTGGTTCCCGGGGCCCGATGATTGGGCTTCAGTCGGGCCTGTCCCTCTACAGGAGGAATATTCAAAAATAGTCACACATATTTGTTGTCTATTTTTTGACCATTTTAGGTTTCTTGTTGTGACTCTTTTTCTTCCTCCAAAATCCCCCCGTAGGGGGGCAGGCCCGACTTTAGGGTGGGGCCCAGAAGCCCAAATCAAGGAACACCGCCCGGATCGAAACAGATTATGTCGTCGTAGATTTGGGGATCTTCCGCCTTCGCCTCCGCCAGGGCCCTCAGGAAGAACCCGTGCGTAGCCAGGGATTTCGTAGGAGGCGGAAATGAACCTGGGCACATACACGTTACAGGCACAAGCACCTCCTCCCCGAAACACAAAAATCAGCCCTACCACCACCACCACCGAAGCGCACACTTCACGATGTTTGCGTGTCAGTAGTGCACAAGGGCCACCCACTAATCTTATGTGACACCCAGGCACCAAAACAGAAGCACGAATGGACCTGAGGCAGGGACAAGGGCCGAAATCACACGATGCCCCGGCTGCAGGGTCTTGGGGGCGGCTTTCCTGCGCCTCAAAGCGACAGGTCGCCTCGCGGAACATGGGACCGCCAACGCATCAATAGACCCGTAGTAAGCCTCTCCCGCGGACGAACTTCGTGGGATCGCCGCCTGGCACATCAACAGCCACCCAGAGGTTGTGTATGGCACGGCACTGTTTGACACGAGTCACCTTCTGTACTGGGATCCGCTTGTGAGCCCGACGCCGACATACCCGTAATTGGCACCGAGTTGTACGTGAAAGAAATTCCCAAAGGAACATCAGCCACGGCACCCGCCACATACGGCTCAGACACCGACGCGCGTTGACCAAACGAGTCGCCAGTCTGCCCTCAGGATCCGCAACTGGCACTGACTCCGCAGCTGAAGCCCCGGCTGACACTGACGCGCCAGCCGACACTCCCGCTGAGGAAAAAGCCAGAGCCTCAACCGCCTCCGCGGCGTAATGATTCCGGGGAGGGTGTGCACTCCCGCCCCCCCACAAACCTGATGGTTCAGAGGATGGCCGCTCCCAAGCACAGTCAAGAGAACCCGAACACCGCAGCACTCGACCATACCTCTCCAGCGGCACTGCTGGGGGCACCCCTAATCGGGTTGGGAGTAACCGCGTCTATTGCCCTCGAACACACACATCCCCGAGGCCCAAGACCCTGGCGGAGGAGTGGATCGCGGCGAGATTTGTGACCAGGGAGGAGAAGGCTGGGGAGGGGGGGAGGAGAGGAAAGGAGGAGGAGGGAGAGAGGAGAAGGGAGGGAGGGAGGGGGAGGAGGAGGGAGAGAGGAGGAGAAAGGAGAGGAGGAGGGAGAGAGGAGAAGGAGGGGGGGAGGAGGGAAAGGAGGAGAGGGGAGGAGGAGGGAGAGAGGAAGAAGGGCGGGGCACAGGCCCGCCACAGCCTACCCCCTACCCCCAGGGGGATACAACGCACCAGCCGGGGACGAGGAAGACGCGTTACTCACGAGCGGCCGAGTCCGTAGACAGGAGGCCTGTGCTACAGGACTCCTAGATGGGGTCGGAGTAGATGGGGTCGGAGGATCGCGCCGCATCGCCGATGCATCGGCGATGTATCGGCGATGCACCAGCGATGCATCGTCGACGTCGGCGATGCATCGGTGACGTCGACGCGAAGGAAATCGAGCTCCACATTGAGCCGCATCGCAGATGCATCGGCGATGCGGCGTGATCCTCCGACCCCATATACCCCGACCCCATCTAGGAGGCCTGTGCACCTTTCCAAACCCCCGACGTCATGATTTCTGTCCCAACGTGGACCCCCAGAGGTCTCGAAAACTTCCTGGGGACTGGCTTTTCAGTCTGGGTCGTGCTTCTGACGGCCCTAGAAGGCCCCCCCTCCAGAAAGAATTTGGCCGCGATGATGACGGTGAGAATGATAATGCTCTAATGGTATTGATAATACTGATGTTGTTGCTGCTGCCGCTGCTGCAAGTGATGATGCTGCTGCTCATGATGATAATGGTGGTAGTGCTGATGCTGATGCTGATGCTGATGCTGATGCTGCTGATGATGATGATGACGATGATGATGATGATGAGGATACTGGTGATGATGGAGGTGGCGGTGGTGGTGGCGGTGGTGATGATGATGGTGGTGTCGGTGGTGGTGGTGATCATGGTGATGATGATGCGGATGATGATAATGATGATGCTGGTGATGGTGATGGTGATGGTGGTGATGATGACGATGAAGACGATGACGATGGCGATGGCGATGACGATTACGATGACGATGATGATGGTGACGACGATGTTGACGATACTGATGATGATGCTGATGATGACGATGACGAGGATCATGATGATGATCATAAAGGTGATACTGGTGGTGGTGATGATGATGGTGATGATGATGCTGATGATGCGGAGGATGATGCTGATGATGATGATGAAGATAAAGATGATGATGATGATGATGATGATGATGATGATGATGATGATGATGATGATGATGCTGATGCTGATGCTGATGCTGATGCTGCTGATGATGATGATGATGATATGATGATGATGATGATGATGATGATGATGATGATGATGATGATGATGATGATGATGATGATGATGATGATGATGATGATGATGATGATGATGATGATGATGGTGGTGGTGATGATGATGATGATGATGCTGATGTATACCACCTTCGAGCGCTGAAGCGCGAAACACTTCGTGACCAAAAAGGCTGATTCACGCTTCCGAGCCATCGTGCTTTGAGCCAAAATTATTTGAGCCACCTTGGTCTGGTGTCGCGACGCGAGGGGTCTGTGTTCTCTGCTGTTCGCAGCCACCTTGGCGCGGGCCTCCCGCAGAGCCCCCCCCCGCCGCCGCCCTCCCGCGCCATGGGGCTAGCGGTGAGCCACGGGCTGCCCCACCCGGCCCTGGAGCCCTTCCTGAGGCTCGGGCGTTGCGTGATGGGGGGGCGTACACGGGGGGGCTAAACGCGGGCACCTTTTGTGCCCTTGCTAGGCCCTGGGGGGCCGCCACAGGGCACAAAAAGTGCACCCTTCTTCCCCCCCCCCCACCGATCGTTCCCCCTTACGCAGATCCCGAGAGGCGCGGCAGCGGCGAGGGCCAGGAGGACCGCCGGGGGCCATCTCCGGGCTCACCGTGCAAGGATCAGGAACTTCCATGGGCCTCCCAGATGGGGTCCGGGCAGATGGTGTCGAAGGATCGCGCTGCATCAGCGAGGCATCGGCGATGCGCTTTGGGGTGGAGCCCGATGTCCTCCATGCCAACGGCGCCCATGCATCGCCGACGTCGCCGATGCATCGCCGCTGCAGCGGCGGTGCGGCGCGATCCTCTGGCCCGATCTCCTCGGACCCCATCTGGGAGGCCTCCAGAAACCCGCACGCACTCGCGCCGTGCAAAGTTCACAACGAAGGTTTTGTCGTTGTTTTATTCTGCCTCTGTGGGTGCCCTCACAGGGCCTCGAGGCCGTGAAGGCACACGACTCGGCGCGAGAAGCTGGCCGCGGGGAGGGGGTCCTGGAGTCCAGACCTCTGAGGGTCCACGTTCGGACACCACAAGAACGACGTCGGGGTTCTGGGAGCAAGGCCGGGGGCCCAACTCTGGGATCGGACGAGGGAGCGGGGGGGGGCGATAGGGAAAGGGGGCGGGGGCTACGAAGTCTGCTGCGTGAAACTGGCTTCGGCCCCGCCGCCAGGCGCTTTCCTCGATACACTGGTGCCACCGGGCGCCGGGAGGCGCCGGTAGGCGGCAGACAATAGCTGCGTGAGCTGATTCGCTCTCCCCCCCCCTCTGCTACCACCCACCCCCTTTCGTCCGACCCGCATCTCCGGGCGCACTTCAAAGAAGAGGAAGCACATATAATACGCACAGATTCTGGGCCGCCCGCGCGGGCTTCTGGCATCTGCGCTGGTATCCCCCTGGCCGGAGGCAGCGATCGGGGTCCTTGCACACGGGTCGCCAGGGGGCCTCGACGGAGACGTGGGCCACTGGCGCCCCTGGATGCTGCCCCTTCCTGGGCTATGCGCCCTGTCGTCGCCTCCGGCCGGGCGGCGCCTGCGGGGACCTCGGACGGTGCGGTGACCACACTGTGTGGCGAGTTCGTCACGCGCTCGGGGCGTGACCCGCCCCCCTGAGCGGCCTCGCTCCTCTCCCGCCCCGTTTTTTCGGCCGCGTCCTCTGCCCTCCCCCCTCCTCCTGCATGGTGGCACGCTTCGCTACAACGGCACCCCCGCTTAGGTAGCTCATCGCCAGCGCAGTTACTCTGCCTAGCCGCCGACGCTGAAAGTGTGGTGAGCCAGCGGGGGCTTGAAGCCACAGCACGGTTCTGGGACGCGGGCCCTTCTCCGACAACGTCTCTGGCGACTGGGGCCTCCCGAATCTCAAGGCAGTGCGGTGACGGACCTTGCGGTGAGGCCGTTGCGGATTTCGAGGTCACTGCGCGATCCGTGACTCGAGGAACACACGGTGGCATAAAGATAAACTCCCGGAGGTCCACACGAATCTCTTGGATCGGCGCTGGACCCCCCTTCCTGGCGCGCGGAGCGCGCCAGGGACGGCGCCGGAGGCGCCACAGAGGGGCTCCAGCGCCGATCCAAGAAATCCGCGCGGACCTCCCGAAGTTGACATTCATGCCAGCTTTGGTTCGCTGAGTCACTGCACCATTTTGGTGCGCTCCGAGTCCCGAGCGGGCCTCGGTCTGGGCTCCCCAGATGGGGTCCGAGCAAGTATTGTCCGGTCCAGCATTCCTTGTGAGTGTGTCTCAAGCGAGACGCCCCCCCCCCCCCCCTACACACCATAGCGGATACCCGACGGGCGATCTGCAACATTTAATTTTCCTGAGGATGTCTCAAGAGACAGCCTCCATTTTGAGAGCAGGCGTCGCTCCAACAACCCCTCGCTCATCCCAGTTTTGTGAGGATGTCTCAGGCGTGACGTCCCTGCCGACACCACGTTGGACATCAGACGCCGGGTCTCAGACGTGTCATTTTCCTGAGGATGTCTCGGGCGGAAGCCACATTTTGAAGAGCCTGCGTCGGTCGCAAAGTCCCCAGTGTGTGTGTGTGTGTGTGTGTGTGTGTGTGAGGCGGAAGCCACATTTTGAAGAGCCTGCGTCGGTCGCCGCAACATTCCCATGGTGTGAGGATGTCTCAGGCGAAGCGCCTCGCCCTGCTCGTCACCCACTCTGGTCTTGGGCCAACGGCCCGACGGACAAAGAAAGCCCTGGGCCTGAGCCCTAAGCTCAGGAGGGGAGAGAACACACCGACACGATGAATCCTCGATTCCCAGGAAATATGGAAAAACATGGGAAGAAAG